GCCATGTGGAGAGAGAGTTCAGAGCAGGGGCTGTGGGACACATTGAAAACAAGGAGGGGATGCGGGTGCCCGGAACATGTGGGGACAGGTCATTCCCAGCTGACAGTGTTGTGCATTGTTTCTTCCCATCACCCCTAGAAGGGGCCTGCGAGGATTATGGTGATGGGCGGATCTGTAAGGTGCGATTCGATGCCAACGGTGCTGCGTGGAGAGAGAGTTCAGAGCAGGGGCTGTGGGACACATTGAAAACAAGGAGGGGATGCGGGTGCCCGGAACATGTGGGGACAGGTCATTCCCAGCTGACAGTGTTGTGCATTGTTTCTTCCCATCACCCCTAGAAGGGGCCTGCGAGGATTATGGTGATGGGCGGATCTGTAAGGTGCGATTCGATGCCAACGGTGCTGCTGCTGTAAAACGAGATCCAAGGGAAGTCAAGCTGCTACCCATGAGTCACATGCTGCTGCCGCATGACCAGGTGCACTACCTACAGGTGAGCTATAGGCACTACAGGGGTACCCTGCTTTCCAGTCCCTTCTCCTTTGTGTGTCGCGCCTAGCTAGTCCTCTCCCAGGAACTCTATTGGAGTGTTAAGGGGCCAGTAGTCTGCCACACAGGGATATAACCCATGGATTCCCCGCTGTAAAATGCTTCCTTTCTTTCACTCTATCTTGGAGGCTTTCCCCAAGCCTGGCAGGATCTCTCTTCCCCTCACCTTCAGCTCCTCTTACCTTCTTTCAGGTCCCCATCTCCCGGAGAATGTCCCATGACGAAACTAGCTTCTTCTCCTCCCACCGCTCCACTCCATCCTTCCTTCACAAGTGGTCCTCATCTGATGACATCCGAATTGCCACTCCCCGCAAGCTTGGGGGCCCTGGCTTCCTTCCTCCTGAACTGCGTGACTACCACCATCGCCGGCGGCCCCCTGAAAATGAGCTGACCACTCTCAGGCAGTTCCTAGAGGGGGGGCTGGTCCCCAGAGGATCTGGCTCCAGCGCCTGCTTCTTCAGGGATGAGATCACCACGTTCATCGATGAGACGCCTCTGCCCTCCCCAGCCTGCAGCCCACGCCACTCCCGCCTCCCACTCGCATTGCGCCGAGACCGTCGCCTCTCCCTAGGGGGTGCTGAAGAGGGGGAAGAGGGCCCTGAGCGGGCACGGCGCTGCTCACTGTCTGGCAGTGAAGACTGGCATCTGCAGGACAGACAGCAGGTATCACATGAAAGGACCCTTGAAGCCTATGAGGCACATACCTTCAGGGAGCTCAATCTGTGAGAGACTGCATCAGAGACGTTCACTGCCATTGGGATTCTTAAATACAACTTTCACTGCCCCCGATCCTGAGACCCAATGGATAATTTATCTTCTCGTATTTCTCAACAGCTGGCGGAAACAAGGCCCCCTCTCCATATGCTGAGGTGGTTGGGGGACAGCGAGTGCAAAAGGTCTGCACAAAGGAGCCGGGGACAGGAGCAGCCTGTGCCTACTCACAGGTTATAAACATGACTTTGGGTGGCCCTCAGTTAGTTCCACCCCTTGTTAGGTCCACACTCTCATTAGCTCCGCCCATCACTGAAAATGCCCCTGAGAGCAGAGGTGGGGACAGAATAGTATTAAAATTCTATATTTGGAGTGTCAATGTGTGTCTGTTTTTAAAACACTGTATTAATAATAACTTCATTTCCATGGCAACAACATGATTGTCAAAATGTTTAATGAAGTTTCCCAGGCTTCCGGGGAAGGACATAAGAAAAAGGCAAAGCTCCCCTCACCTGCATTCTTAACACTGCAGCAGACAGAGTGGGAGGCAGCAGACATTTAATGGCAACAGTGCTGAGGGGAGGAAGTGAAGGAGAGTTCTGTACCAGGAAGAATTTTCAGGAGACAGGAGGAATGGTTCTGTCGTTAGTCGTAGGGGTGACTTGGGCTGTGTCCACACTAGACTTTGACGTTTAACTGATTAAAGGGGGCCACTTCATCCTCCCCGCCCACCATCCGTGCTCCAGCCCCCACCAGTTAACTGGACCAAGTAAGCACACATGGTAAGGATGATGCTTACCGGTTAATCTTTCACATCCCTACTTTGGTGACAGGTGAAAACTGTAAGAAAGTGGGGGGGAGGGGAGAGTCAGCATGTCCTGTAGCCGGACATGACTCTCAGCCACCAGGTAGAACAGAAGGTTTATTTGTTGACAGGGATACAGTGTGGCACAGGAACCAGAAGCGGTCAGTACAATCCATCTTGGGGTGTGTGGGCTCAGAGTCAAGGGCCCTGTCACTGCACCCCAGGCCATTGAGACTCATTCTCACACACAGCAGCCTGTCTCCCCCTGCAGCCAGCCCTGCCTCGAGCCTTTGTCCAGCTTCCTGGACAAAAGATGTCACCTGGTCACGCACACCCCCTCCCAGGCTCAGGTTACAGTGAACTTGAGGAGGACACTCACACCAAAATTCCCACCACCACCTAGGTATTGATGCAGTGCCTAGGGAAACTGAGGCACACACCCAGAGTTACTACAGGATGCAGAAATCACATGACGTAACAGCGAGTACAATCCCCTCCTTTGTCACATCACCATTCCTCTGGTTCAGTTTCATCAGGGCATCAAGACTGGGAGTAAAAAGCACTAGTGGCTACTTGTGTTTTTATATGAAACCAGCCCTGTTCAAGAGAATGGTTAAATTCATTGGAGATGATTAAGTGAAGACAAGACAAAAATATTTTGCCTACAGGCCCGTGTTTCCTTGTTCACTGGCAGGCAGATGAATTTTGGCTGCCTGGATTTACCCATTCCTAGGGGCTGTAAGACACTGCCATGGCAGCATGGGATACAGGTGTAGAGAGGGCATTAGGGAAGAAGGTTCAAAGGATGGCGCTCAACAATTGGACCTGTGTTCTAGGTGTTTAATGCAGCTACCTTTATAATTGAACCCTGAGACCAAAAGCCCATCCATCCAGCTGGCTGTCACCCATAGCCTGTTGAACATCTGCTGCAGACCTTCAGGAACAGAACCAATGTCTCCTGGAGAAGGCCACAAAGAAACCTCTACTGTATGCAGACTCCAAGCACAGCACTTGTTGAACTACATCCCTGCTGGAAACTAACACACCTTGGCTGGTTTCCCCTTCCTACCAAACAGTTGGAGAAGTGCGTCAGTCAATGGGAAAGGGTGACTGGTGGGATCATGTGAGGATTACCTTGTGTTCCCTCCTATCTTGCATTGGCCGCTGTTAGCAGACAGGATACTGGGCTAGATGGACCTTCGGTCTGACCCAGTCTAGCTGTTATGTTCATTGCACCTGTCACCTGTAGAACACCTTTCTGATTCTGTCCCAGGCTGAAGGGATGGCCTGGCCTAAAGGCACTGGGAACAGGGCCCTTCCACTGCTTGCAATGGTGGAAACCAAAGAGTATTAATCAGTAACAACACAGAAAAACTTAAAGGAATAGTCTAGTAGCACCTTAGAGACTACCAAAACGTGTAGAGGGGATCATGAGTGTTTGTGAGCACAGCCCACTTCTTCAGATGACCGCATCCAAGAATCAATAAGGGAAGGGGGAGGGGAGGGAAAAATGAGTGAACAGATTCACTGTCTCTTTTCTCCTTTTTTTCCATCTCCCCTTCCCTTCCGCACTACAGCAGGTTGGGTGAGGAGGCGGACAGGCCCTCTGCTTGGCCCCGGTCCATCCAGATTTGACGCCTGCCGGGGTCTCCCTGGCACCAGGCACGTTTACTGGGAAGTCTTCCTCGCTCCTGCAGCCTTGTGCCCGCGGTCCGGGCCCCGCTCCGCTGTCTCTTTTCTCCTTTTTTTCCATCTCCCCTTCCCTTCCGCACTACAGCAGGTTGGGTGAGGAGGCGGACAGGCCCTCTGCTTGGCCCCGGTCCATCCAGATTTGACGCCTGCCGGGGTCTCCCTGGCACCAGGCACGTTTACTGGGAAGTCTTCCTCGCTCCTGCAGCCTTGTGCCCGCGGTCCGGGCCCCGCTCCGCTTTCGTGGCTGGGCGCCTGGGGAGTTCTGGGAGGAATTCTAGCCTCTGGCGCCCCCCCGCTCTCTGCCT